TTGCAAATTGTTCAATTTCACTGAATCAGATTTTAAATGTTCTTTCTTTATTTCATTTTCTCACTGAAACTAAATAGCTTGTCTTGTCTGTCATATCCGCCTTTCCACGCAATCAAAACAGAATAGTCCATTATTTAGGGAGTATTGGCAAGGTATAATGGTCGTGCAATGTAAGGAAAGGGCAAATAGATATAATAAGGTGTGTAATTTTATCATCATTAAACCACTTATATTTAGTCGTTGTGCGTAGTATTTTATTTCCTCGTTTGGAACAGGAAGAAAGAGCGGCTGCCTCCTTCCTTTCCCTTTCAAGTTGCCACTTTTGTTAATTTAATGGTCGTTCTCTATATATATCTATATATATATCTGTTTTATAGCACTAATTAATGTTCGTTCTCTATATATATCTGTTTTTATAGCACTAATTAATATTGGTTTCGTTTTTTTTTCGTGACGAATTAACATGTATTACAGGCGGAGATATGCCAGTACTATCGGATATATAACAATGTAAAATGTTGGTTTGTCTGTATTTTATTCTCCTGTATATTCTCCTGTGGAATATATAGACGTGGCCTCACCACGCTAGACGCTTGCGTTTGTGGATTCCGTAGAAAACAGGTTTTGTTTACACGTAGAGTTACTAACTTCATCCACAACTGTTTTGGAACGGACACTATAGATACTAGATTTCTAGATACTAATGCAGGTGCCCTCCAAGGCTCATTCGCAGGAACTGATTTATTCTTAATTTTCATCAATGGCCTCCCTGATGACACCAGCTATCTATGCTGATGAAACTACGATTTTCTCCTGTCTTGATAGATAAAATGAAATTGGCAGCTTATCTAAAAATATTTATTAACTATTAAAATATTGTTAAATGGAGCAAGTAAGGCCTTGTTAATTCAAATACCTCTATTACTCACCTGAAAGAACCTATTCTTGCTCACATCAGCATGGTTGATACTAAAGCTCAGGAGAGTGACTCATTGAGCCTTCTCGGGTTAACATTCTTGGCTGATATGAAGTTGAAAGATTATATTAAATCCATTGCTAGAGTTTATGCTAAGTAAGTTTGTTTACTTTATCTTGCTAGACAATATATCCCTTCTTTTATCTCCAGAATATTATATTTTATATCCTTACATATTTATAAGTCTACCATTTCTCCAAACTTTGGATATTGCTGTCACATATGGCCCGATTCTCCTGCTGTATATTTAGATATTCTTGATAAAATCTAAAGAAAAATCAGCAGTATTTTTGGTCATTAACTGGCATCTCGGCTTCGATCACTTTCCGATCGTCATTACATTTTTTCCCTGTGCCTTTTTCTGTAAATACTTTCATGGAAATTTTTCGAATAAAATCTTTCCTGTGGTCCCTAGACTTTATGAATTTAAGCGTAGTATACTAGATTGGCCCCAAGGTCTCATCAATTTACAGTTGAATTGGCTAGATGTAACTATTCAATGTTAAAATAATTTTTCTCGCACTTCTCCCTTGTGGAACTCTCTTCCTGGTCCATGATTTCCAGGCAAATTTGATCTTCAAAAATTTAAATGCAATATTAATCGTTATCTACTGTCTTCTTTATTACTTTTCTATTGTTTTCACTCCTTAATAATGTTTCTTTTTTTCTTATTATTTCACATTGAGTAAGATTTTTATCTTAGTCGCTTTACTGACTTGTATGAGGAGATATAATAAAAAACAAAATTCAGGGTTGTCCGTCCCTTAAACTGGTTGTGAACAAAGTTTCTCTCTCTCTCCTTCAATTAACGTCAATCTCTCTTTATGCGCTGATAACCCGTACGCTACGTACATTTCAACTGTTGTCTTAAAAATTGTTTCGAAGGGTTTAGAAGACAAGCGCCAATGTAAATTACTTTATAGCCAACCCTTTCTTTCTTTCTTTCTTAAATGCTAAAGTATCCTTTTATTTAGCTCTGTTGAATTTCTCGCTAGAGAAAACATTTTTATTTTTGTTTTATCTTCATTCTCTTTTGTCGACTTCATATGTCTGATTGATCTGTTAGGTCTTTTGTCTTTTTCTCATATCAGTTATATTCAGTTCAATATTCTTTGCCTTCTTATGATAGTTCCCCTTTTTAGTTTGATCGCAGTCTACCTGTCCTTAACTTTTTCCTTCTTGAAACTTGCTAAAAATCTCTCTCCCGGCCCTGAGATTATTGTGAAATTTTCATCCCTATAAATACAAAACAATTATTCATTATAGTTTTGTCAATATTTCGGTGTTGTCAATTTTCCCCAAATGCATAAAGGCTGAAGACTTTTCAAATTTATCACATAATTTCAGAAACGCAAATGTTTGTCAAACGGAATTACAAAATGCAAGTGGATTCATGGGTCACGTTTATTTAAATAGAAAATACGAACTTTCAACTTGGTTCCTATTAACGTAATTTCCCTTGTGTTTAAATACGCGAAATTGAAAACATTCAATAAAGTTTTCTTCGGATTCTGTTTTTAATTTTCATTTACTTCTGTTTCTGGTCGTTGCCAATTTATATCTGCACAGATAAGGAGTAACCTTTTACGAAACAATAAATGCACAACAGAACACAATAACCAAAATGTCATAGCTATAAGATGTTACATCTGTGTGGGTTTGAATGTGTATGTAAGCATGCAAAGTCAATCGTAAATATATTAATATTTAAAAGCGCAAACGCATATGTACTCACTATTAGCGAACGTACAATATAAAAAAACTAGCAGGGTGGCCCGGCGTTCCCCGTGCTTGATTCAAAAATCGTACGACTCATATAGCAATCGCTATCACTTGACTATTTTTTAATATTTTTTGCCTTTAAAGGAATGCCATTTGCTGTGCTGATGTTGCTACATGCCTTACTTCATGCCTATCTCACACTGCGAATTTTTTCTAAGCTCTATACTAAACATTAAATCTGTTACGAAAAAAGAAGTAAACAAAATGAACACAAAACGATCAGCTTTAAAAAAGGACTCGGAACTGGAAAAACCGAATGAAAAAAGAATGTTAACAACAAATACTTTTTAACACCCAACCCAGTTCTGCGGAATCAGAATCAACGTTGAGTTTAAACAAGCGAATGAGCCAATTGGAGTAAAGTGTCATGCAAATTTCAATTTCTCTCACGTGTGACGAATGCAGGTATCGATTTTCTTTGCATGCTAGCATGCTAGTTAAAATTCGTGTCAGTTAGCTGTTGGCTCTCATTATGGTCAATAGAATCTTCCTGCCTATTCGTGGCAGCCAGCTATAGGCTCTCATTCTGACCAGTAGAAAATAGCCGCAAACTACATGAAAACTGCCGTAGAAACATGAAAAAATCGATTATTTCCACTATCGATGGGAGTTGGGAAATGCAAAGTCAGTCGTGGCCTTCCCGCTAACTTGGAGAATGTGCATGTAAATTTTGGTGGAAATCCGTTGAAAGTTGCGGCCGTGCATTCGTTAAACACTGCGAATTTTTTCTAAGCTCTATACTAAACATTAAATCTGTTACGAAAAAAGAACTAAACAAATTTACAACAAAACGATCAGCTTTAAAAAAGGACTCGTAACTGGAAAAACCGAATGAAAAAACAATGTTAACAACAAATACTTTTTCACACCCAACCCATTTTCCTGAAATATTGAAACTGGTCATAGTACTTGGGCGGAGTTGTTGTTGCCCTTGTTTTGTTAACCCGGAACTTTGGAAACCATACATTGATCGATTTTAAGTTCAAATAAAAAGAGCTCAAAAGCGACGTCAACTGCTCAGAGTCCAAAATGAGGTGAAAACCTTAGATGTACCGGGCCCCGTAGTGCAGGTGAGACATTCAACTTAAAAACCCCAAAATCCGTATCACCTGTGAGTTAATCGGTATTTTTACAAAGTTTGAGTCCCAAATAAAAAAAAAAGCATCCGGCATGACACAATGACGTAAATTGAAAACTCGGATCTGGGATGCGGCCTGGGAGAAAGAACAAAGTTTAAAGAAGTGGGAAATGGACTGCTGAGGGCGTTGTAAACACGGAGGTTTGTATCGATTTTTGAGTCACGACTGGGTCACACGGCATTTGATGCAAGGCACCTCTAACTGGGCCGCGTAGGAATTTCTGTGTGAATTGTAAAGAACGCCAGGAAGTTTAGAATGTAATCCGCCCAAATACCGGAGTACCAGCCGATGTATCAATTTTTGAAAGCCTGAATCCAAATTGAAAATCTGTCTCCGTTACGAATAGACGCCGTAAATGTCAGAAGTTGAATCGACATTTGACGTTAATTGCAGCCTGGGCGTGAAAAAAAGTCAAAAACTGACAGCTGTTGGCAGGGGCGAACCGGAGATTTTTGCCGACTCGAGAGCAGGCTACGTAAATTTGGCCGTATGAGAAGCACTGCTTCTCTAAGTGTACACCAGTGACAGACAGCGTTTGTCATTGGGCCTTATTAATTTTCATAGCAAAACAGGGTGCGACTGGGAACTGGGATCTTCTGAAATTGAAGGGTACGTCGGCATCTTATGGATACAAATGCATCCTTGGTATAAGCACTTCCTCCCCTTTACCGTAGCCAGTTATAATTTTGGCCTCAACGGATAACCCTCGAGGTTGCCCAACACTTCCCACGAGCCCAGGTGTTCTGTTTTGTACGCACGTAGTATGAAGGCACGTCTGGGTACAGTAGAGTCCTTGCAATCTCGTCCTGTCGACAAAGTTTGAAGAACGCTGTAAGCGTTGTGTCTTTGGTACGCGCAGCCACATCCATTGCTGTATCTACAGAAAAATAACGAAGTTCTTCGTTTTCTACGTGCACAGCAAGCTGGACGATTGCTGGGAAGCGTTCGTGGATGGGGAAGCTGAATATGTGCCAAGGGCCCTCTGTGCTGCTAATAACGCGCCCTGCAAGGAAGTCCTGGATTTCGTCTAAGGAACCTTCCTGCCTAATACCAAACATTGGAGCATCAGTCCCTTTGTTGATGCACTTGCATGCATACTTGATGGAGCGAACTGAATGGCAATATTCGACATTGATGTGAGCATTGAAAATTTTTGTTAGCAGAGGGCAGTATGCCACTACCCATCTGTTATCCACTTGGTGGCTCTTTACCACGGCTGTAAATCCTCCCTCAGCAGGAAACCTTCGCCGGTACAGTGGATAACCATCGCTCCCAGTAATGGTTTCGCTCACGAAATCTCGTGGGTACTGCCGGGTGCATTTGCCGTCGCTGTTGTGACACCTGGTGTAATTATAATGCGACCCACAGGGACCATGAATCATGTTGGTTGTCAGCATTTCGTACAATTCAGGCTCAGCCGACGGATTAGGAATTTCAGCAGAAATAAGATGATCGATTTCTGTGGCCTCAATATGTCGCACAGCCAAATTAGTATATGTGCGTTAGGCAGGCCGCGTTTCTGCCACTCAATAGTGTGCATACGACAGCAAACAGCTCCGAAAACCTGGCGCTTTGTAATCACATCCATTAGATTCCCCAACTTCACTTGGTAAACGCTCGCAATGAGGTCTGGACGGTAGTAGGCCGATTGCCCTGGCATAAGTTCTTTAGCAATTGCGTACCATTTTGTGTTACACGTGAAAGTTATGAATAGGTCGGGTCGAACGTTCTTTCGAACAGATGTCATTGCCTCTAGCGTTCTCGTGTGCATGTATTGTGGAGGTGAATGTAAAAGGTGAATGTAAGAGTCGCAGCGCAACTTAGTCTGATTCAATCTGATGTAACAGCGTCTTTCGGATTCCATCTTAGCATCCATGTCTATTGATGGGAAAGTTGCCGGTTTCAATGAAGATGATTGAATGCACCCTCATGTACCATCAATAGGTAGGCATACAAAGACCTGCAAGACACTGTTTTTAAAGTGGACCCATTTTACATAATGCCAAAGTGGTACCCATCTTCTCCGTAAGGGAAGAGAAGTGGGTATTGCAGTGCATCGTAAGACTGGTGCGTTTCACTGATTTCTCGGAGCCCACTGTCGCGTGATTCGATAACAATGCCACGTCTGTTGTGCTGATCACCGCTGACAATGACGGAAACTTCGAAGATTTTTTCGATTATCGATTTTTCGGAACCTGAGTCAGAACTCAAAAATCGGGCTCCGTAATGTCCTTACGGCAGCCATTTGCAAACTTGTGGTGAAAACCGCATCGAAATCGGGTAAAAAATGCGGCCTGGGCGAGGTAACAACGCCCACGACAGACACACAAACAGACAACATGAGAAATATAGATAGTAGATAGATAGATAGATAGATAGATAGATAGATAGATAGATATAATCCTTAAATTTGATTTATCGTTGGGGATTTTATGCACATTTGACATAGTATAGAATAATTTTCAAGAATATTTACTGAAATTTTAAAGGCGACTAACTCAGTAGAGTTGGAAGTTTTTTCGTTTTAACATTTTCCGAAATATTGAAAGCTACTGCATGTATTTATCATTAAGTATACATATACATTTACTATCGTGTGAAAACTTCGATCGAACAAAATAGACAAGAATAAATATATAAATTCGTAGAAGCATGATTTAATACCTCAACTTTTTCTTTCTCACGCTTCTCCCTATATAGAGATTATTGTTCCCAATAGCCGTTAAACATGACGGAACGCTCAACCATTTCAAATTTCCTGCTTCCCAAAGAATAGCAGGGTATAGATAAAGGAATTCCATCGACTACACATGCACCTCATTGGTCCTTGATAACAATTCCGTTAGTCGAATGTACGTGAATAAAAATAACAAAATATATATTTTCGGATTATCCACAATACTCAATACATTATCCGAATACTGAAACATATATACTAAAAGATGAAACAAACAGGCCGTGTATTTTTTTTCTTTAAACGTATCCAAATAAGTTTGATTAAAAAGATACGAGAAAGTCTGCCTATATAATTTTTTATTGTATTTTTCCAATTCTCGAATCCGACACTCGATACTGTTCACACTAGAGTTAGAAAAAGAAAACAAACTAACATTCTTGGATGTACTCGAAACGAACATGGTTTCAAGACATCGATATACAGCAAGTCAACATTTACCGAAAAATACCTTAACTTCGACTCCCACCACCCATACAGTGTAAAGAAAAGGATCCTGCGTTATCTACATCATCGAGTAAAAGACATGTGGCGACCCAGAGACATATGATGAAGGAATTGAAAGTATAGGCAGTGCCGGACAATGCAACATCTACGGTGGGTACATGACAAAAACTCCCGCTAACTGTGACAAAATAATAAAAGATGATAACCCCACTCAGAAAAGAGCCTCGGTTGTCCTCCGCTATGTAAAAGGCTTACAGGAACTGATACAAAAATTCTGTGGCCCATATAACTTCAGGGCAACATTCATGAGTGGTTCAGCACTACACAAATATCTATTCCATACAGCTGTGGGATGAAATAGAAATAATTTGCTTCCTTAAGGAACACCGCAAGGACATAAAATGAATAGAAATAGAAAAATCGGACATGACTGACCATATATGGAGAGAAAGGGGACAGCATCACTCTCTGTGGGATGAAGATGAAATGACAGAGAACGTCGCTGGAATAAAAAAAAAAAAAACTAATGGAATCAGTACATATGCTAGGCTATAAAAATCTCCTAAGCCGGCCAATGAATACAATATGGGGAAACATTAAAATAGAGAGCACGAGAAAAACAAAAACAACAAAAATATTATGAGATCGGGTAAAAAAATAAAATGAGACTTTCTGATACCACAAATTCAGTCATCAATGTCCCAAATGGTCCAGCGTTGGTTGATTGATCCAGAAGTGTCTTGACCCGTAGAGGTTTCAGTTCAATCAGTGGAGCGAACAAAAAACGTGGTGAAATGAGTTATCAATGGGAATACCTAAATAAAATGTTCAGTTTCATATTCCAATATCGCCTGTGCACCTGCCACTAAAATAACTGTTGTAGGTTCCTGGATGAAATCCGACCTCAAATGAATGACAAACGCAGGAATGAAATATAGCAAATAAATGTATTGACGTAATAATACAATTGGTAATACGATTAGTAGATCCAGAAATGCGGTTAGTAGCAATACTAATATATATACAGTGTGGGAAATTCAGTATCGAAATAGGACTTCCTTCTGAGTCTACGTGCTCGCAACTGTGACTCCTACAAAGTGGTTACGTCACACTCACACTGTTTCACTGTATCAGTGTATCTCTGTTACTCACTCTATCTCCCGGGTATTCACTGGCAGCAGTACAAGTACACACTGGTCGAGTCCACTTGAAAAAGGGGTGGGCCCCATAAAAATAACATTAGTCGTAAAAAAATAAAATCAGATTAAAATAAATCAATAATTATATTTTTTTTTTCCAAAAAAGAGATGGATATATATTTTTTTTATTGAGCTACAAATCTTTAAACACAGATTTTTCTCTGATTCTCCCGGTAGATGATGTTAAACATACTGATTTATAAATAGAATGTCCACTCAAATACGAGTATCTACTAAAAATAACAGTTAAATAAGATAAATCTGTCGGATTAATAAATAAAAAATCCATGCCTTTCTTTAGAATTTGCTTAGTTTACATTTATATATATATATATATATATATATATATATATATATATATATATATATATATATATATATATATATGTGTGTGTGGACAATGATGTAGAAACATGCGATATTTATCAATATCAGCAATAAAAATATCTCATTTCCTTTCTTTCCTTCAGCCTATTATACTTCAGGAAGAAATGTCACGCCTTTGTTACTAAATCAGTATCTAATTATATAGTTTGGTGTCAGTCTGATCAAAATACAAGAAATTGCTAGAGTTATGTTGTACACAAAACTCTACTACGCAAACAATAGAATAAATGATAATTGATATGTTCTCTCAAGAAAACTCGTAGACAATACGACAAATACATTTTTTTTTGGTGTCTTCACTGAATCTCTAATTTCTAAATACTTGTATGACTGTTGACAATTTCGCTTTTGCACTCAGGGAAATAATTTGTTTCCAATCTGCTTTTTTCTAAAGCAATGAGACTAATGGTCCCTTGAAGTTACCATTCTTATTCTATACATTGCATTTCTAAATCTTTTCGTCTGCAACAAGCTATAAAAATTACTAAAACCTACATGTATGTATGTATGTTTTCTATTTTCATAGGCTAACTGGAAAAGAATGGCATTTTTATTATTATTTTAAGCATAAAAAGGGACAAACTTTGTAACCGAATTTGTTAACTGAATATAATAATCAAAATTACATGTCAATCGGTTATATTAGAAGAATTAGACGCTAATTTATTCTACTATGTATTGCATATAAATGGCTTCATAAGATTCACTGTATCGCAGATTTTAGTAACATCAGAAAACGGTTTCTTTCGTTTCTTATTAAAGCGGAAATGTCCGACTGGTCACTTAAATATTTCTCTTTATTAAATCAATATTGGCTCTTACAATCTGAAACAATTATTAAGTAAAAAATATTAATTTATTTATTTCGGAGTTTCAGCTACGGTAGCTGAAATAGTGGAAAAGTTAGGCGCAATTGAAACTTTTATTTATCTGCATCCTCTGTATTATTCGTAATTAGTTAATTTATTAATAAGATGAATCAAAAATCACTTTAATATGAAGAAGTAATCAAAACTATTTTTCTAAGAGACTGTCTTCATATACTAAAGAAATGCATAAGAATGAAAAAAAAAACTTAGCAAAATATATTTGTGATTAACTTAATATTTGACCAAGTAAAAGTAAAAGTGGAATTGACTTTGTTATCTTTGTGTTTATTCCCAACATATAGACATTGTTTCGAACAGTATATAAACAATACGAAAAAGATTTATTAATATTTTCTAATCTGGCATAATACCAAATGCAGCTAAGGAAGCGGGTGATAAGATTGTATTGTGAAAGTTAATTGATAGAGAAGAATGTATTGAAAATTCGTATGCGAATTCGTTTGAAAATTGTCATTAAGTATGTTTTCTTTGCCTGTTCAAATTTTAATTATACCTTGACTTTGACAATAAACACGCAAAAATTTTACAGTTTCAAGATTTCCGTTTGAATTCCCAAATAAATCATACATGTCCCTCTTGCCTGTCGCTCTTCACTCTCACTCTTTCATTAGCAATCGTAATTTATTTACACAGATTTATGTGATTAGGTAACAAATAAAATTGTATGAAAGAGAACAGACTATATTTGATTGATAGGTTCGATTCCCACATTTTATCAAATATTTGCAGATTGTAAGAGATTTTAGAGATAATAATGATTTAGTCGTACTAATTAGTACGACTAAATCATTATTATGAATCCATCTCAACTCTCACAGCAATGTGTTAATTAACACATGGCTGTGAGAGTTGAGATGGATTCATAGCATTTGAAAAATGTATTTTCATATACGTGAAAATAACGAACCCAACTGGAATTGGAATTCGGCTCTCCGCTTAACAATTCTGAGCCATTACATATAAGACCATTCGCACATTCCAACTTAGCAACAGCTGGTATATTCCCAAGCGTTTATCCATTCCGCATACTCACCAGGCTTGGCCGTAAAGTTTGTTGATCGTACGGAAACCGGTGTTTCAACGCGATGTGGCCGTAAAAGCTCAATGCTTATATTTGAGTGACATAGAAATATAAAAGTGTAAGTGACATGTTCGTAGCTCAGTTTTTATCTGAGTGGAAAATTGCGTTGGCGTGTTGACAGTGAATTCCATTCATGGCCGTTGCACTTGCTTTCGCACAATTTCTTTTGTGACGGTATGGATCCGTTTCTCCTTCTAGAGGTTATTAGCAGGTCAAACTGGGCTCTTTAGTTTTGTTTTGCGACAAGTCTAGGAGAAGGAAAGTTCTTCATTTGTACCGACTTTGGGAAACCTACCTTCCAGTGAAACAGCACAAGGAACACATAACATTTTGGGGTTGTGTCTTCATAGTCTACAGAAGAATTGTGCTTTTAAATGTGTGTGCAGGTACAGACATGTATACAGACATGAGATATTTGTATGTATTCAATTATATACATTAAAATGATAGTCAAACTAGTTAATATTTTTAAAATGGGTAAGTCTTTGATTTGGGATTTGACCTGTGCGGATACATTTTCGGTCGGTAATTTGATCAGGTCCGCGGTTGAGCCGGGCTCCGTCGCCCGGGATGAAGAGATAAAAAAAAAATAGTTAAATATTCTTCTCTTGTTGATAGATGTTTTTTTTACTCATGTGGTAGTGGAGACTTTTGGGGTTATTGGCCCTCGTTCGATGGCGTTCCTTCGGAGGATTGGAGCGATTGCGTCTCGATTAAGGGACGAGCCTCGTGAAACGGAGTGGCTCTTGCAGCGTGTTTCATTGGCGATGGTTCGAGATAATGCTTTCTGCATCATTGCGGCTGGCAGAGGATAGAAAAAAAATTGTTTATAGTTTCTTGAATTGTCACCAATGGTTAGCTGAAATTGCTTTGTTTCAATAAATGACAATATTTTAAACCATAAAACACAAGAAAAAAAAAGTAAAACCAATTGATACGCATCGTGATTTAATAAAAAATACGTTTGAAATGACTGCCTCCATCAGTATTTAAATTTTTATGTCATTTTTAAACGTTTGGTAATTTAGTATCAATTTTTTTTTCTATTTGCCCAAAGATACTTATAAAAATGTATTTTGCATTGTGAAAAGATTTCAAGTCATTATATATGTTCATTTTAACTGGAATAGAATCTTCAATTTCTTTCCAAAATAATTCATCCTCCAGCACTGGTACTTAATTTAAATACACAAATAAAGCAAAAAACTGTTTATGTCGTAATGGAATTTAGATAGGTTTTTAAAAAATGGATGTCTGTGCCCTGAGGGCCATATAAATTTAATCTACGATTAAATTAAAAGAGGTATACATTCTCATTATAAATTGAACAAAGAGGTAAAGTCGACATCTAAGTTCCGAGAAAGATAAAAACTTTCGACACTCATAAGCAGGAGACATCTATTGAAATGTGCATGCATGAATTACTGTCTGCTTTATATTTCATAAAAGGAAGCTGAGTCAATTTCTATGGAAGAGTGCCTAAGTATCACGGCTGCAGCACGTGCAGTTTGCCTTCGACCTTAATGTAATTTGACGTATGACGCTAAACTATATCCGGCAGCAAGGCCTCTGATCGGTTTTGAGGAACGTGGAACAGCTTCTTAATTGTTGTTCTTCTCAGGATCACCCTCACACGTGATTGTAGCACCAACAATACCTATTTATAGTAAAATTACCAACAATATATATTTAAAGCTAAATTTACCATTTTATTAAAACAATACCGATAATTCATTTTATAGCAAACTGGCCAACAATACATTTTTCTCTATTTAAATTTATACAATTGCGTTCAAAATATATTTAGTTGAGGCAATACAATAGTGTTCAATAGGCAGATTTCGGCAGTAAGTATCTCATAGATGTTGATATGCCGTTAAATGAAATCAATTAACCAACAGGAAAGAAATCTTTTATGATATTATTCCATATAATATCCTATAATTTCTGAAAGAAATCAAATTGTATTCCAAAATATAATTTCAACAAAACTGCAATATAAACCACACATGTCACCACATCTGGTGATCATGTCAACACAAACATATATATGCACAAAGGCTGAGTATCATCTACTATGTATACTATTGTCAAAGCAGAATTACATACATCGTATTTTTATTATTCAAGGATCCGAAGGGAAAAGATTTTCGACATTAATAACCGATAATGTGTTGATATGCCTTTACACAAACACGTCAATCAATCACTTGAACCAAATGAGTTACGGGATCGTGATACTAAAATATGTTTAAATACGAATAGACGTCTCTAAAAGCTAGATTTATATCATTGTTTTTATAAAATAATTAGATATCTATACAGTGTATGACAGAGACTCATTCTAAATCTTTGTATAATTCCATTGTTTTCCTTTTTTAATCAAGCAAGGCAATATAACAACTAAGACAACATATGAATAAGAGTACATTGTAAATATAATCTACGATTATCTTAAGCTAGTTCCAGTTTGTCCCATTATAAATTGAGCAAAGAAGACGTAATGTCGGCTTCAAATTTCCAAGAAAATAAAATCTTTAAACGCTCCGTCGAAATAAACATTCATAAAGAGCATTCATAAATTTAAGTGTGTGTGTTCGCATTCCTGCCTGATCTGTCGTTCATACAAGTAATCTGAATCAATCTCTAGCGAAAAGTGGCTAGTAATTACGACTTAGTGTAATCGAATTCACGGATACTACTTAATTATGGCATTGTGCCGCGCAGATAAATATGTTTAAAGATATGTAATTGATTAAGCCAAATTGATCACGAAATGAGATTAACTTCCTCAGAGGAAATCTCTCTTTAAATGCAGGATTCCGTTTAATGAAAATATTTTCACTATAATGAAGAACATTATTAGAATGAGTGCAAGAATACATATCTATCTATCCGTGACGAGAAATTTTATATTCCTATGACTTTCTACTATGGAGTAAATGAATGAAGACTTCGTCAGATAAAATAACTCAATATGACTTCCCATCTTTAGATACAAAAAAAAATATCAAAAACAGAAAAAATTTAGAAATCTTTCAACTGATTTCTCCATATCATTCAATAGTCTAATATCTGAATTGTTCTGTCTGTCTCTCTCTCTCTCTCTATCTATCTCAGGTCATATATATATATATATATATATATATATATATATATATATATATATATATATGCACACACGCCCCAACACGCTACCCCCAGAGACACACACACATTTCGATGTAAACAAATATTTAAAAACAAAACATAATTTAAAATATATAAATCTTTTCATCTAACACATTTTGTTGAAAAGAAATTCCTGTATCTTATACATAAATTTTTAGGACAGTAGAGAAATGAATTGAGACTCAGATTGAGGAATCAAGAGTTAATTTCCTTACATTCCCCTACGTGATAGTATCCTTGGGAAAGGTAGGAATCCATCTCTTCTCTTCCTTCACCCAGTTATGGTTAAATAGCAACTCAGACTTGTGTTTCAACCGCTCTAGGAGAGAACATCTCTTAAATAAAAGAAAAAAAAAACTGAGGACGGTCTTTCGGGGACCTTGTGTCACGCCCTATCTCTGTATTCGGTTTCTTCGTCACCACCCAGCGATAGTAAATAGCAGGGAATACTGGGTCGTATATTCCAGGTTGGGACCCTGTCTGGTAAACGGAAAACTAAATTCAATCAAGCCTTTAGGAAGTTGGCCTCTGTCAAGATATCGTGGTCAGAACACACATTTTCTGCAGCGGCTGCAGTACGTGTGCTGCGCTTTGACTGTAATGGGATCATGAGCGGAATATTGAAATATGTTTAAAAACGAATAGATCGTCTCTAAGAGATTATCATGGGCGCTGAATATTGTCTTTTAGGAAAAAATACCCAAGAAACATATCTAACGTTGTAATTATCAATGGGTAATTAAATATTTGTTAATGTAAGACAGATTCATTTCTTTGTTTTTATAATATAATTAGATGCCGATAAAGCAAAAGACAAAATGTAGGTAGAACTCCGCTTTTTTAAAACATTTCACCCCGAGCAAAGCACTAAAAGCCACTAAAGAGAAAATGTTACTGAACGTGAAGTAATAAGAAAAAGAAAAACATTGTTATGGAGAAATAATAATAAAATTAGAATAAATCAAGAGGGCAGTAGTTAACGACTGACATTGCATTTACTTTTGTGTAGATCAAAGTTGACAGGAAAGCAAGAAGCAGGAAGACCGTTCCCCAGCTGAGAGGTACTATAAACAAATTATTATGGTTACATCTAGTCGATGCAGCTCCAGGATAATGGAAACTTGTTGCCAGATTCACAAAATCTAACTAACATCGAGGAAAGTTCATCAGAACAATTACAATAAAATATTTATAGAAATGTCAAAGACAAATTATATTAAAGCTGTGGGAAATTGACTGATGCGAAGATGCTAAGCTAGAACTAATATTTTTCCAGTTTCTTATTTGGGTTTTATCATTAATGTCTAAATATATACGAGGAGCACCAAACGGTGGCAGGAATATTCAAAACATGGACGAATGGTAGACTTATAAATATGTAAGATAATTTCTGGAGAGAGAAAAAGTACCTAAAATATATTTTTAAATATTTATATAGTTATTTGTTTTGAGGATTGGAGATTTGTAAATATATTTGTAATATCACTTCTCCAGGCTGAAACGGCTTCAAGTAAATACTGGAAAGATATGTTCGAGTAATGTAGATTCCTCTTTTTGCTTTATTTTCGTCAGAAGCCATAAACGCTCTTTCCAAACAAAAGATAACTAGACTATACAATGAGAATTCCTGCGAAATCTGCATTGAAATCATGGATGCCTGCCTATCAGATTTTCCTTCCTATTCAGCCTTATTGTTGTACACACCTTTAAAGAAAAACAAAACATCAAAGGTTCCACCGCTATCTGCTAAGAATTAAGTTCTAAGATAAAACATCCAACTTGGTGAAATTATATAAAAGTACTACTGGCTGGATTATCTAAGTAAATCCTTGGATAGGTGTTATCGTTAATATTGTATCCTATTCTAAAAATATTTTCATAAGTTAAAGATTTTTCAAATCTGCTTTACGCAGAGATCTAGAAAGGCCTTAAAACTTAAAGCTAGTTTGTGTGTTTAGATTTTGTTATGTATCCCTTGAGAACTTAGTTGGCCCCACTGATCATAAGCAAAAAATCATCAGAATGTTTATAGTCAATAGAATCAACTCAAGTTGTGGATGGCAAAATATAGTAGACTATTTCGTTGAGGGCACGAGCAGATTTTCGTTTATCCACATAATATAATAAATTGTCAATAACGTGTTTAAATTTCGATTGAATCCATTTACATTCACTGAGACTTCTAGGAAATTTATAAATCCATATAGAAATCTTTCCTATCTGGAAATGATAAAAGATTTAATGTCACTGGTATATCAAGATTGTCGACGGAGAAGCGGTTGGTGAATAAAACATGAGGAAACCAACTCACCCAGGCATGAATAAAAGCATAATACTGAAATGCCCATGACTTATGATTATATACCGATGAGACTTCTCTTCCCGTACAATGACCGAAGTTAAGCAGTGTCGATCCTGGTCGGCAACTTTATGGGTGATTTGTTGTGAAGACAAAGTGTTGTGAGTTTTTATGTGCGGGTGGCATAATGAATACTGGCTCGGAATTTTTACTCGGAGTGCCGAGTTCCAATCCAAGTTGAATTCGTTATATTTAATTATGCGCAAATCCCGTTGAAAAAAGAGATGAATTCTCTTCTTCTTTCTCAACTATGTGTTTATGAGTATGACTGGAATCACAGAATATCTATCTATCTATCTATCTATCTATCTATCTATCTTATGTTGTCTGTCTAAGTGTCTGTCGTGGGCGTTGTTACCTCGCCCAGGCCGCACTTCTCACCCGATTTCGATGCGGTTTTCACCATAAATTTACAAATGGCTGCCGTAAGGACATGAAGGAGTCCGATTTTTGAGTTCGAACACAGGTTCCGAAAACATCGATAATCGAATAAATCGAAAATCGAAAGAATCTGCTTACAGAAGGAATGATAGCATTTCAGCCAAATTTGACACCCTCTTAGGGTCTACCATTAGAAGTGTTGTCCAGAAGGTCCATGACCACGTACGCCTAAACAGCGCGGAACATCGATAAAACCCCAAAACCGACTAAGGGAAACGGTCCGCCTCCTTAGGTGAGAAGCGGCTGGCGTCTACTTCAACCTCTGCTTTGCAATCTTCTGGGTGCCGTGGCGATGAACCACCCGGCAGCTTTGCTAAGTGTGCCAAAATACCATGGCAAAGCAACCTTAGCAGGCGTTCTAAAAGAGCCTCTGCGGCAAAGAGAAAGCGGGAAGAGGAAACCAAGGTAGTGGCCTCTTTGAGCCTATCCATTCCATCTCAACGGAGGCAGTATGTTTTGTCACATGAAAAGCTTGGTGAGCGTAACTCCTGTTTGTAGTGCAAATCAGTTTACACATATTCGTTGAAAAGGATACTACTTAAACGCTTGCAAGACAACAAGAAAGCGCTTCATCTCAAGCGCTTTTACGGTCTTCACAGAACCCGCATGGAAAAGCCACTCTCAATGCAGCCGACAACGCTGCAACTTACATTCGACGGTCCCAGAAATCCATGGCTGAGAAAACCGCACGCCATGCAGTGGAGGCCGCCTCAACTTCTGCTGCAATGTTAGACTGTTAACCAGCGCCGCTGTGCAGAGCGAGGGCTCTGTAGCCCACCAACGCAGTTTTGGTTTAAGCTGGCTTTCAAATATGAGCCAGTTTCGAGGCTTTCTGGGTCAATGTCAGTTGTCTGTTGGCATTGCAATGCTAAAAAAGTGCCTGGAGAGTCTGCAGGTTTGTGTTGTTCAGACGGTAAGGTACAGTTGCCACCTTTTCAAGAGCTACCTGCTCCGTTGAAAGCTCTGTTGGAGGGTTCCACTTCAGATTCCAAACGTTTCATCGCTAAAATCAGACAGTACAATTGTGCCTTCCAGATGATCTCTTTTGGTGGTAATGTCTTCCGCGAAGTCAGTTGGAATCCCACCTTCAAGGTTCAAGGTCAGGTTTACCATGGGATTGGGTCTCTTTTGCCGGAAACTGCCACTGATTCGGCCTTTCTACATATATACTTCATAGCTGACAACAATCAACAGGCAGATGCCCGCATGGGCATTATTCCCGATAACGATACAGGCCAGGACAATCATCCTCGCAGTGATATCATAATGAGTCTCCAACAAATGCTCCACGAGACAAACAGCTATGTCCGCAGTTTTAAGTATGCTCTCGAAAATAACACTTCTTCTGATTTCATTATTGTAATTGATGCTGACAAACGGCCTCAGGGAGAGCACGAACGTCGTTACAATGCTCCCGTAAGTAACGAAGTTTCCGTCATTGTCAGCGGTGATCAGCACAATGGACGTGATATTGTTATCGAATCACGCGACAGTGGGATCCGAAGAATCAGTGAAACGCACCGGTCCTACGATGAACTGCAATACCCACTTCTCTTCCCTTACGGAGAAGATGGTTACCACTTTGGCATTCTGCAAAATGGGTCCACCTTAAAAACAGTGTCTTGCACTGCTTTCTACGCCTACCTCTTGATGGTACATGAGGGTGCATTCAATCATCTTCATCGAAGCCGGCAACTTTTTCATCAATTCATGATAGACATGGCTGCTAAGATGGAATCCGAATGACTGTTACATCAGATTGAATCAGACCAAGTTGCGCTGCGACTCTTACATTCACCTCCGTGATGCTTTACGAAATGACGCTGATCCACGCGATATAGGCAAGATGTGCATACTACCTGCAACGTTCACAGGCAGTCCACGATACATGCACGCGAGGTCGCAAGACGCAATGACATACGTTCGTAAGTACGGCTGACCAGACATATTCATAACTTTAACGTTTAAACGAAAATGGTACGTAATTGCTAAAGGACTTATGCCAGGGCAATCGGCCTACTACCGTCCAGACCTCATTGCGCGAGTTTATCATCTGAAGTTGGGAAAGCTAATGAATGTGATTACAAAAGGTCCAGGTTTTGGGGGCTGTTTGCTGTCGCATGCGCACTACTGAGTGTCAGAAACGCGGCCTGCCTCACGTACATATACTAATTTGGCTGTGCGACAAGATTGAGGCCACAGAAATCGATCATCTTATTTCTGCTGAAATTCCTGGTCCATCGGCTGACCCTGAATTGTACAAAATAATGACACCCATGACAAGTTGGGTGCTGACTGGAGAGTTAATTGGCCATATACAAGAGTGATATGATGGCAAAAATTGTCTGACAGTCATGACCGTGTTCTCCTGCTTGTTTGGCATAGTTCAGTGCCCTTTTGCCAGACTTAGGGTTTTCCATCCACCGCCTGTTTGACACAGTTGCTTGATTCATGCCTCCATGTTGAAGCTGAGATCCTTTGGGAAGATTAATACCGTCACCATTAATAGTGACCACTCCACTTTTGTAATCATCATGAGTCTCATCCAACCTTCTGCACTCTTCTCAGATTGACACAAACAGTCTGAAATGTTTTCTCAAAGAAGCTGCCCAAATGAGCCTACTATACTGTGTAGTCCACAAAATCAAAAACACAGCGCATGCGCGAAATTGGCGAAAATTCACCCATCCAACCCTGTATATGAGGGTGTGTGAATAAGTTCGTTTTGTCTTATTACCATCTAAAGGAAACAGTTCCCTTCAAAATTATCTTCATTAGATTAAATGAAAAATGTAACCTTTACAATATCATCTGCAGTCACCGTGTTATACGATGCGTGAGTCGCTAATTTCAAACTGGTCTAAAAAAGGCAAACTTTTCAATCTTGAAGTTATATCACGTATCATAAAGCCAGTTTAGTTTTACTGTCCATTTCAGTAGAAAATAGATTAATTACTTCTTTTTCTATCTACAGGTACCTCGATATTTCCATCAACGTCAAGAGCGAAGTGACTGATAGAATTTTCTGTTCGCCTCCCACGAATATGGTCAGAATTAAAATTAGTCCATTTTTAATAATGATTAAATCAAACGTCAAAAGAATTTGAACAATTTATGCCTGAACCCTTCTCTTGTTCTGCGAGAAATTCAATATTATAAAGAACATGAGATAGATATACATTTGTGTATATATATATAATTAGGGTGCGATGGATAAATTATCGTCTAAATTACACAACAATAACAATAATACTTGCATCTCATTTTAACATATATATTTACCATAATTACATAAACATAATACTAAAATGGCCATTAACTACAACCACGGTCTCAAGACGACATCGGAATGCCCTGCGTCTCTTTTGGACTGTCTCCTTGTTTAAGTTGTTGAATGTTGCCATAAATCTTGCCTTCGGTTCATATTTGGTTCTACATGGAGTTTTATTAGCATTTCTCACAACTGCACCCTGCATATAATAATCAAGTGGGTTGCAGTCGCAGAGGTTATGTGGTCAGATGTAAGGGTGTGATGTGGTCGCAGAAATTGTCTGTAGCTAATACTAGGTACTCCTACATGTATGATATGCTGTAAAGTCCTTTTGCTAGACATAGGGACTTCCAGTAGCCATCCTTTTCACCAGGATACATTACCTACTCAAGACATTTGATGTAGGCCCCTGTGTTGACCCCGAGTCCCTCACCAACAAATTGGGAGGTATTTCCTTAACAGGATAATCAAAGTGAGGTTATGGGGCTGCCTTTCCTTCATAATAACCATTAGACTAATCCAACTCTATCCGAATCTCCTTCATTTGACACCCAAACCCTCTGTAATATTGTATTGGGACGTGAATGTCAGGCAAAACAGCATGCCTTTTCCAAATTGCTGGCGGATTGAGTTGCGTCATGGTGGTCTTTTTTCTCACAGCCATTGACCAACTATCTACTCTACTGTGTAGTGGACAAAATCAAAAACAAACAACGCTCATACACAAAATTTAAAACATGAAAGACCACAATTTAAACACCCTATACCTATATTTCTATGTCTCTCTCGTTCTTTTTTTCTTCTCTCTCTTTCATCTATATATTTATATATATATATATATATATATATATATATATATATATATGTGTGTGTGTGTGTGTGTGTGTGTGTGTGTGTGTGTGTGTGTGTGTGTGTGTGTGTCTGTGTGTGTGTGTGTGTGTGTGTGTAAAACTACAGAACATACCAGATCTTGTGTTCGCTCCTAGAACCTCTAAGAAACGCTCAGCATATTCTTTGAAAGGAATACAAATGAGACTAAAATAAGAAAATGTATGTAACGGATTTTCTTTTTCTATAACAACTGAGGGCAAATATTTATACGTCATATATATATATATATATATATATATATATATAATATATATATATATATATATATATATATATATATATATATATATATATATATATATATATATGTGTGTGTGTGTGTGTGTGTGTGTGTGTGTGTGTGTGTTTAGGATATATATTAGTGTCCGAAACAAAAGTGAGTTTACATTTTCGGACTATTGTCCTCATCTTTGTCGCCTTATTTATTACAACGTTTCGGTCGTTGTACGCTGAGGGACACATGGCAGAGTAGATAAAGGCATTAGTTAGATCCAGTGACAGGACCAAAAGAGTTTGAGTTCCATACATGGTTACGGCGGTGGAGAACTTGGAGAGGGGAATTAACAGGAGATAACTGATAACTGACATCCAACTAGAAGTCTACCCCAGTGATCGAAATAAATGGTTCAGTTCGACATTCCAACCACATGAAGAAGGCCTGAGCGTACAACGGCCGAAACGTTGTTAGAATGTTTTGAATTTTACGCTTGAATATTAAGATACTCAAAAAAATTGGACACACTGGCAATGCATCTGAAGGCTGATATTTTTGAATCAGTTATGAAGGGGTCATTTTTAGTTCGTTCCCTATACAGAAAGATACAAAATATGCTAAATGGAAAAATGTCTGCTCGGCAAGGGTATTGAATTTTTCATTTATTTTTATTCTAAACTTTCTTGACCAAAGGTCGATGACTAGCCACAGTAGACAAAATTTATGTTCAAGTTGGGCTATTTTAAAATATGATTTGTAAAGATGTCAGTCGCTGTACACTTTCGTCATCTTTAGTAATATAAAAGGTCGTGTAGTCTACATGGTGAGTTGACAAAGAGCATAAATGAGTCAAAATACGCGAAATCAATTTACTTGTTACCAAATAAAGTTACAATGTAAAGGTAAAAGCGACAAATTAAAAAAAAAAGAAAAGAAAAATAAAGCAAAAAAAAAAATATATATACCTGTTCAATCTTTTTCCTATATATATTGAAAAATGCTGATCGCAATTTCGAACGAAAGCGACTGGTTCTATAATAGCTAATGAGATTTTCATCTTACATCTTTATTTGTGCTTTAAAAGTGAGTGGTCATGGCTCACCGTAACGTCCTATCTTTATCACTATAAGTCAGTAATACTTTATTACAATTTCATGTTTCCATGATCTTCTATCCATACGCAAATTCGTTAGGTAGGTTATTCACTGTTTTTTTTTTACATGCTTCTCTTGTATTCCGTATGTACTAAGTGTATTAAATCTTCTATGGCCTCTATTCACTTTATATGTTCTGAAGTTTCAATTGTTTCCTTCTTATTGTAAATATACATTCCATTGTAGTTAATAATTTCTTATTTTCTTAACACTACTTAGTTATTACTTTTGTGTTCAAGGTGTTCATCGGATTCGTCATGACTGAACATGAATTGCGTACATTTTTCAACCATACTTCTCACTCTAGTTTTCTGCAGGATCATAAAAATAAAATTCGAAAGGAATTTGTCTGACGTTTTTTTCTCTGACTGTCTGTTTCTTCAATGCTATATCTTAATTCCTTAGAAGAATTCGTAACACTCGTTAGGTGATGTCTCCGTTTTATTTGATTATTCGAAAGGAATGTATTACAGCCTGTGAAAGGTCACTTTTAGCGTATATTCCGTTTTGGCCTAATCTTGAAGTAGTCGAAATGTTTCCATTCTCAACAAACTAATTGAAACCGTAACTTTAGTGAGTGAAAAAAAATTATTATCCCCAAGAGATTTTTTCTATTTCAGATTTACAAAAATATGCCATTATATATGTGAAAGATTTTAATCGACATTGCAAGAAATTATAAAATTATATCATTCTTAATTTTTAAGAATTTTGTTCGTACATATTCACTTTTGAAATAATTCACATTTTCTAATCAGTCAAGTAGAATCTTATAATCTCCATATTTAAAATTACATACGGATATAGAGTAGAATAAAAACAAAATTACAGTTACGTTGAGTTAATAAGTTTATTTGCAGACAGGATATCATCTTCAATATAGTCTAGTACCGTGAGACAAATAGCATTTTTAATTTCATTTTTATGATACTTACAGCTTACGTACCTTAAATAATGACTAAGGATTCGTTTTATTTTTGGACGACAAAATTTCACACTATTTTCAAGATTGATATTTAGAGAATAACAAAAGCAAAGCTTTTAATACATTTAATTATTCTTAATTGAATCTTGTAATTCGATATTAAAATCTAGCTGATAAAATATCTGAGGTTAATATTAAGGACTCAAGATTTTGGGGCAAAGTAGACATTTCATGATAAATGCTAATGGAAAGTTACTTTTCGTTGGAAAAACCCCATTGTTCGTGACTGAT